GCAGTCAGATTCACGGAAATTCATATAAACTGCTGTGCTTGATTTACGCGGTTGAAGAAGATTGCCGATGTTTAGCTCTGGAAGCTCGATGTATAGAGGCACGCGTTGCTATTGATTACGAGAAACATTATAACAATGTATTGGTGTTTCTAAGGAGAGACGGAAAGAGGAATGAGGCCGTATCACAGAAGCATCGCTCTTTGCTTATTTATTCCCAGTTGTAGGTTGGGCTAATGAAGCGTATTCGCAGTTTTATGATAAGAGTAATATAAGCAGTTTGAATAAGTTTCATCTCCATTGACGCTCGAAAAGACTGTGTCTATTGTCGACATAAGTTGGCTCCTCTCATACGTGCCCCGACCTCCAGCACGGTGGTAATTTTTATTCGCCCACCTTGTGTCAGCTATTACCGGCCTCTGTGATCGCTCGATCCGTGTGGAGGCTAGGGAATTCCATTTTACCTGGGAGGGGTCTTCCTACCTCGCTCGAATGCGCTCAATGGGATAGGTACTCACTAGCTCAACATTTTCATCATCAATCCACACCAAGATCGCGTGACGCATGTACCACGCCAGAGAACTCACGCCACGCCGTGTGTGCTATAACTCAGCTCTGTCGTAGATGAGTTAGCACTGACACGGACAGGCGTCGGTGAGTTAGTGCCGATGAGTTGCCGCTGATGAGTTAGTGCCGACTGCGATAGAGTGAGGAGCCCCGGCAATGATCCGAAGATTTTCCGGCGCCATTTCGCTATTTCTCGGGCCATGAATGTCGGAACCAGGCCATTGGGCGCTGAACTATTGGCAATCGGTGCTAAATCGAAGCAGAGGAAGGCTCGCGACGAGTGTTGTCGGACGCTCGGATTTTGGGGATCGTCGGAGCTGTCGATGTTCGCACGAGTTGCATTCAGTGTTTTTATTGTTTGTCCAAAACATCATCTCACGGACATATTCGATTTCGGAGAAATAGCGCTACGAAACGAGACGGCGTATCTTTTTGCTAGGGTGAACTGAACGTTATTGTGTACATGCGAAACTTCGTCAAACGTGCACTCTTTGAAGAATGTAACACTACACCGTATACGTCATCCGTCGATGATTGCCACTTACAGAAGCAAACACCATCCGTGCCCACCAAGGAATGTAAATTCGATTAACCGATGTTTAATTCATAGCCTTCTAGATGGAGTTACGTGACCTGCATGCCAACTGTGGCTCCCGGCCCTGGAATCGACATTCCAGGGAGGCAGGATTTGACTGGTGCCGAATGGCAGCGCTCCGCTGGCAGCTCAGCTGTGACTAGCACAGAGGCGGTAATGAGTTCACGGAACGTCGATCGCACAGCGCACGTGTCGGGTGTGGGTGTTGGAAAGGGGGGATTGTGGCACTCAGCTGTAGGATAAAGCATCAGTCAAACTACAGACTAGATAATATGTGGCATTCTCCCTGCTTGTTCAATCGTACAACACACTATTTCATCGAGTTCAACAGTATAAGCACAACTTTAGTCGTCTTTAGTGATCACACAGTTCACCATGTGAATAAAAACCCAGGCATTTCGAATAACAAATTGGGCATCTTTTCTGAGATATACTTGTTAATTTCATAGAATGCTTTCTGATATTGGTCCCTTCTGTTTGATTTGACACACACTGAGAATGCCACCCACTGATCATAAAATATTGCCGTCTGAAACAACCCTACCATATTGAGTGCGCTTGGTTCGTTTTGTTATTTTTGTTTCCATATTTCACTGTTGTAAAATATTTAATCAAACCACCCGCGACTATTCTCACCACCGACCCATCCGTTGTGGCTGCACTCGACACATTATGCGTCATCGGCACCGGGTGGCCCGTCCGACCGTCCATACGGCAGCCTTCACTCAGCCGAGGCCCATCGGCGCCAGATTGCAGTGCGGAGTTTGACAGATTTGCGACCGTCGCGGGGTGCCTGTCGTCGGCGATATTCACAGCTCCACGGTCTGGCTCCAGACCGCAGTCTGCAGAGGCGGCCGTGGTTTCGTCCTGGCTCCAGATCTCAATACTGAGCGAAATGGAATGGGGGCCCGAGTAAACTGCGCCGCTTGAGTATTGGTATGGCTGAAATGGAAATGTATGGCGTTGTGTCAGTGCAGGCTCTAACTGGTAATGCAACAGGGTTTACATACTTTCAGGAAATTGTTTATTATCAATGTGTGGTGAAATGTATCATCATTGCAAAAAAAAAAAATCATGAAAGAATAGCAACCGATCAATTCTTGTTTTATGGTTAACCAGCTCCAGAAAATCAGAACGATTCCCTGGCATTAACTGTCTCTTATTTCACTATCATGCCTCTATAATACGCTCTACCTTTTCAAAGTAATCCACCCAGCTAGTCTTCTCCAACATCCCCCGACCATCGGAGGGTCAGTTAACCGGAGTCGGTCCATTCCGATCCGCCGAGCGCGGGCCGCCGTGAGACCAGGATCGTCCGGTGCCGGTCGGTCGGACCTTGAGCCATTTCCGAGCCGGGCTTCGGCCAGACGGAGATAAATCCGCTCAGTCAGAACCGTATAAATCGCTGTCCGAGACGGCCGGCCGCCGGCGCTGTCCGGCCGTGCGGGCTGCGCCTGTCCGCGAGACGCGTCACCGGCCGACAGACTGCCGAGCCGCGTCGGGAAAGGTAGTGCCGGGTCGACCTGCAAGGTTTGTTTGGTATACATAGTCTTTTGAGGATGCAGTCCAATGATGCCTGACAACACCCAGAATGCTTGTCATCATATGGCTAGAGGAATCCAGGTGTGTTCTTTGCTACTGGACCTTCCACCGGTCACCTATCTCGTCTCTTTTTTTTAAATAAATCTAGGTATTGCAAAAATAAATTTCGACAAATTATTTAACCTCGCTTAAGAACCTTAAATGACCTCACTGTTTTTATACTTATCTTATCATTACCAAAAACCAGCAAAATAACTAATAATCTAGCCATTTATCCTCAGCTAATATGAAACTGGAATGGAGAGTTTGGATGCGCTCGATATGATATCCGAAAACCGAGTGCTTTTACCACAACACTCGTCATTTCTTGTGATTTCCAACCCATTGTCATCCGGACTCTGTGGCAGACCAAAACCATTACCAGCCGTGACACTGCGAGCTGTTGTATTTATGGATGGGTTGAGCAGCTGACAAGCGGACGATCCTATTGTGTGGCAATGGTCGGCCGTTTTCCCGCAGTCGAATTTACGCGAACGGGACCGGCCGGCCGGGCGGCAAGGCGAGTGTTGCGGCGCAGTATCATACAGGCGCTCTACCCGCAGAGCTATCTGTCGGGCAGTCTGATAACTACGTCTCCCACAGCTGTGGGGCCGGGCGGGCGAATGTTGCGGCGCAGTATCATTCAGGCGCTCTACCAGCAGAGCCATCTGTCAGCAAGTCTGAGAACTACGCCTCTACGGCAGTGGGGCCCCGTAGTATAACTCGCAGCCTATTACATCTGGACTGCTCATGTCTCCAGCCGGGCGTATGAAGTCTCCACGAGTCAGACAACCTCTGGTTGGCACGCCGGTCGGCTCTGGTGCAATATAACCGCGTTACCGCCCGGGCGACGGCGCCGTTCCGCGATAGCCGGCCTCTGAGTCGGCTGTTCAGTGTCGGCAGAATTCTGACACCGCCGGCAGCACGGTCAACCGCCCGGCCTTTGTGCCGCCAGCCAGTCCGTCATGGGGCCTTTGAGACGAAGATCAAAGGCAGATGTGGCGCCGGGGGTCTGGCTTCACGCCGCTTGACTATGAGCGCAATGTTGAGAGGCGGGATCAACTATGGCTCCATTATACTAGGAATGCCTTGATATGAAGCTTGCGCGATATTCGGTCTGATTGTGAAATGACTGGAGGTCAGGAGACGGCTCCACTGATGCTTTGTGGAGTTCATATCCCGTAAAGGTTAGATGTCGCATAGAAGCTGCAATATGCGACGCAGGCTAGTACTATGAAAGCACACAGCGCATTACGGCGAATATTTGTGTTGTACCGATTATACATTGCCACAACTCACAGTGATCAAGGCTGTTTAAGCCGAAAGCGTTGTGTATTTTGAATATATTTGATTTGTATTAATTGGTTTATTATTTACATCATTATCCACACAGCGCATTGCACTTATACACTCAATATACAGCATCCAGTGCCCCATATGCGTATGGGCAGTAAAGTTGGGCGGGCACACCTTACAGTAATTGTATGCCTTTTCATCTTTCACTAATGTTGCTGTTCGTGTGCCTACGAATGTGACGGTTCTCACCATCGTCCTACGCTCGAGGCCACCGAAGCGGCCACAGTATAACTCTCCCTGAATCCGCACAGTGTGCTGCTCCTTTGCCACCGTCCTCTGTGTCCGCCAAGCTCTCACTGACTTTGCCCTGTGTGCGCAGAGGCAAGCAATCTCCCTGTCCGCATCCTGTCTCCGAGGGCGCTTCTCTCACTCTTCCCTGTCCTCTGTGTCCTGGGCCGTCTCTCTCTCTTCTCTCTCTCTCTCTCTCTCTCTCTCTCTCTCTCTCTCTCTCTCTCTCTCTCTCTCTCTCTCTCTCTCTCTCTCTCTCTCTCTCTCTCTCTCTCTCTCTCTCTCTCTCTCTCTCTCCCCTATTTTCTGTACCATGTGTCCGCGCCCCCTCTCACTCTCTAATGTTCTGTGTCCACAGAGGGAGTCTCTCCGTGTCCGTGTCCTGTGTCCGCGGTTCCTGTCACTCTCTCTGTTCTCTGTGTCCGAGACCGTCTCTCTCACTCTCCCCCGTTCCATGTGTCCTCAGTGACCGTCTCTCTCAATGTCTCCTGTGTATCCACTGTGTGCACCCTCTGTGTGTCCACAAAGGGTGCCTCTCTGGCCTTCCCGTGTCCTCAGTGAACGTCTCTCTCACTCTCTCCTGTTCTCTGTGTTCGCTGCTTCTCTCACTCTATTCTCTGTGTCCTCAGAAGGAGCACCTGGCGCCGAGATCGGCCGTCGCCACTGGTGTGTCGTCTGTATGATTCTCCTAGTAGTAGCCGCTACCGGCCTCATCAGCGTACCCCTGCTGCTGCGAGACATGGCACGCGGCTCCGCCCAGCACCGGCTCCAGATCGCCAGGAAGATACTCGCCCAAGTGCCTCTGATCGACGGGTGAGTGTGACTGACCCCCAAGGCTATAGAACTTCACGCTCACCATTTACCGGTAGATTAGCGCACCACCGCTTCTTCCGTAAAGTGCTGTATTAACTCTTTTTCGGAGGCGGATCGGTGAACGAATTTTGTTTGTTCGACCGGGGAATTATCTGGTTGATTTTGTTTTCAAGCGGACGCTGATTCCCTAGAGTATTTGCAGCGCGCATTGGATACGCGGAGAACCAGAATAGAGCTGCGACTAGCGGTCGGGTAGAAATTATTCGCTTTGGTTGAGCATCGATCCTCGACACACCCTTGCGGTCGCGGATCAGTGTTCTGTGATAAATTATTCAAGAGAATCGTCAAAACGACTGCGCGTTAGCCGGCCTCAGATCCCGGTTCCATTTCGCGTGTCCGGAAGGACGGGAGATGGAGACTCTCTTGTGAAGTACGGAGACACGTCAGGAACGTTCCGGGGGACCCCCGTGAACCTGACTACTGAATCTCTGAAAATCGGTCCACCTGACATCTGATAGCTGCAGAGAAAGACGACCTGAAGTTACCGGAGAGCTCAGATTACCTCGGGACTTAGTGGATTACTGTGCACGGTTAGAATAATTATTCGCAATTTTGGCTAAAGTTACTCCACCACATATCTTGGGCGGGGTCAAAATCAGGTAACTATAACAGCCTACAGACAATGCCTTCTAATTATTCTCTTATATGTGGTCGGTATAATAATTCCGATGAGCTACACGAGAATTGAAAATCAGCACCTTCTTTGGTCCAATATTGTACTTCACAAACCTTTATAAATAAGTGTTGAGTGAAACGCTGCATGTGACATAGGTTTCCAACTACCACAAATCTTTAGGCATTTTATCTGGTCCGTTCGCATTTGTATTAATGCTTAACTATCTGATGCATCAAATACGCAATAATCACATATGAATGCATTTCAATGCCACCATCACTATCATGAAGGTGACTCTGATAAGCATCATCTTCTTGGTGTGATGATGGTGATTTTCATCATCTTTATCTCCGTCATTCATATAGCATTATTAATAGCATGAGCAGCAGCAGCACCGGTATACATAATAAACATTTAATAACCGTCACATAGCGCACAAATAGCAAGCTACTGCAATACCTTCTTTGTTCTCTGTCGTATGCTTTAATGAGAAACAGAGCCCTTAGAAGCGCCTCCGGGCACGGTAGTCACCAAGTAAACACGTGGTTCTTGTGGTTCTTGAACTTACTGCGGCTTCCGACCGAGAATAGGCCCGTAAATGTGTCGAATGAAACTCAGGGTAGATAAACTTTGGCAAATAACTTCCAGAAAGACCCTCGGCGTGCTTGTGAAACCACAGCTCTCCTCTGGTCTTACCTAGACTGCATTCAAATTAGAGGTCGTGCGAAAAGAAACAGTAGTGTTCGGAATGCTCTAAGATAAAATAAAAAAATATATTTTCAGGATTTACATATCAGATAGCAGGGATCTGAGAGGAACCAGAATTTGAATGAACATTACTTAAAAAAGAAATTGTCACCATAACTATTAAACTTTTCGAGCCTGTTACATTCGTCACTTCTGTATTAAATGCAAGCTGTATTCTACATATATGCACTTTTGGTCGCTCACCCACGTCTAAAGCGTTTGGTCAACACGGCAACTCATTTCTATTCATCCTCACTTGCCGGAGGAAATTGCACTGCAAATAAACAGCGTCGTGAACTGCAGCTAGAACACATCTGGCGTCTCTCTCTCTCTCTCTCTCTCTCTCTCTCTCTCTCTCTCTCTCTCTCTCTCTCTCTCTCTCTCTCTCTCTCTCTCTCTCCCTCTTTCTCTCTCTCGGACGCAGAAGCACTTGTCACAACTGCAAGCTATGCAAACGGGCCGCCTCGCTCGATAGAATGAAGTCGCGCCAGGGAGTGGCGCTGCTCAGAATATGGCACAAATGGATGATATTAATCAGCTAGGCGCTCCATTCGACCTGAGAGGATGATTTCACCCGGTGTGGACTCCGCCTCCTTCTTAACCCGCGCCCTATGACCTTCCATTCAGACCCGCGCCACTTCCAGCCAAGGATCGGCAGGAGCTCAGCGATATTTTCCGGCATCCATCCATGGCTCCATGATACAGTCTGGCGGCACGGAGGTCTGGTGAAATTTACAACGTCACCATGTTTCTGAAGGACGCTCGCCGGCAGGATCTCATGTCTCGTGAAGGGCTACCGCGCGTCTGTTGAGCGGCCCGGGTCACGGCCTGGTCCGTGGGGGCGGACGTTCTCTTGGGTGTACCGTACCTAATTGCTACCAGTTGTAAGTGAGAGCCGGGAGCAATTGGATTGGCTGCCGTCCCGCAGTTGGTCGAGGGAGGACGGGGAGGGGAGGGGAGAAAGAAAGTCGACCCCGCGGCGAGACTTTCTGAGGAGACCGATCAACAACACGGAGATGGAAACACGCAGGCTTGCGTACTGTCACGGTTTTTTTAGGTGAACTTTCATATGTAAGTTGTAGATATGATGCGTAAGTACAAGATTATTAGCGCTCATCCTCACGCAACGCTAATTAGTAGCCATCAGTAGGTATTCAGTAATGACATTGTCTTGCCAAGAATAGCTACCTATTACAGATCGCAGCAATAAAGCGCAACGCAGCGTCCGCGTATAAATTAGCATGAGTGATTACCTCGACGCAAAACAATTTATCGCTAATGCATGCCTCCGCGAATCTCTCAGAAATGATGAGTCTCTCTGCGAGCATCTGTAAGTGCGTAGTTTGCCTGTGAATGTGTGCGTTGGACTTACAAGTGCTTACATTACCATTGACCAGATAACTACAAAGTTGCGTGGGATTTATCAAATACTGGTGGGTCTGCACCAGTGACGGCGGAATACATCGAACTTTTCCGGGCTACATGCATTGCCGCAACGGCAACAACAACATAAACAACATCAGCCGCAGTAACAACATCAATAACAACACCGATAACAAAAACCCAAGCCGCACCAGCACATGGGTAAACAAACTGGAAACGAGCCCTGATTGAATTCCAATTTCGAGCCGAGAATTCCAATCGGGGACCGCCAAACGGCGGGTGGCGCGGACGCCGCGGGTCCAGCGCGGCGGCTCTGTATCGATTCGCCACCCCCGCTGCCGCAGGCCGGCCAGCTCGGCGCGGAAGTTGACTGGAGAACCCGCCGATTGTCCGGCAGATAGTACGCACCAATCTGCTAGCGCCCCGGCTCTATCCAAAGGTTGTGGGGGTGGCGGAGGCGGCGGGGGCGGGGCGGCGGTAAAGGGGGCGAAGGCGGTGCCGGATGGGGTGAGGCATCGGGGGCCATGGTAGCGAGGTGGCGGCGGCGGCGGGCACTAGAGTACCATGGCCAGACCATAGCATGAAGCATCCCCGGCTCCCGTGGGGGACCCCTGACATGGGTTCTCAGAATGACCCGCAGGGGGACTTGGGCAGAGGGAACGAGTGGTCGGGTAGAGCTAAGGGGCAGCCGTTGCGGAGGTCGGTGAGTGGCCATGCAGTTAGAGCGTGGGACGAGGCGAGAGTCAGTGATGAGAGACGAGGGTGAAGGTTGAGGACTGAGCGACGACGGCGAGGGCTGAGGAACGGCAACGAGGGTTGAGGGACCACAGGGAGGGCTTAGGAACGGCGGCGACGGCTTAGGGACCACAGGGAGGGCTGAGGGACAGTGGCGAGGGCTGAGGACAGCGGCGAGGCCCGGGTCAGGGGAAACACGGCGATGAGCCGTCATTAGTGGAGCGCAGCCGTCGCGTCGGCGGGGTGCCCTGATCGATGGGTGTCGAGTGATGCGACTCTGGGCGGCGGCGGTGACCGATTGGGGCGCGACGGACCGCCACCGCCGCCGATCATGACTACCGACCAGTGGCTGGATCACTGGCCAACGATAGAATACGGACAGCCGACCACTCATGAATGTTGATCATTGACCACGGACTTCTGATCACTGGTCGCTGTCTGCTGACTGCTGACCAACCACCCCTTGAGGACCGATCCTAGCTGAGTTCAGCGGTGGCCCACCGATCTCTGATGTCCACTCAGACGGCGAGCCGATGTTTCCCAGACTCCTGCAATAGTGAACGAGGCCGACCACTGCAGCTGTGCCAGTCCACACTCTGCAGAAAACCAAACCCACCAGTGGATATCCCTTCAGTCCGGGCAGCTTTACTAGTTAATAAAAACAACTTCCAGTCCTGCTCATGATTTCTGCTCATCTTTTCGGCCCTGCTATTTTGGTATCCGGTCACTTAATACCGATTCCACCTCCTATTGCCGCAGTTTTCAGTTTCTTCTGTCTGGTTACCAATCACCACCACTCCGACCGGCCAGACCACTTTGACTAACGCCAGACCATTGTGACCAACGCCAGACCACTGCGACCGACCGACACCAGACCACTCTGACCAAGCGGCCAGACCACTCTAACCAGCGCCAGACCACTTTGGCCGACGCCAGACCACTGTGACTGTCCGACTCGAGGCCACTCTGACCAACGCCAGACCACTCCGACCGACTCGAGGCCACTCTGACCGAAGCGAGGCCACCCTGACCAACGCCATCGTCTTTGATACCGATCCGTTCGGGTGCCATGCTAACAATGACGCAGTGGCGGGCTCCGTCGGCCGACGACGGAAAACGAGAGAGAGAGAGAGAGAGAGAGAGAGAGAGAGAGAGAGAGAGAGAGAGAGAGAGAGAGAGAGAGAGAGTAGCGGAGCAGGAGCCAGTGTCGGTGACGATGATGGAGAAGGACTGAGTATCGAGAGAGGAGGTCCCGACGGCACTGGATGCTAGGTAGGGTGGTCAGAGGCACTCTATGTGAGGGAAAGCGAACGAAGGTGGACTGGGTGAAAGGACAGTTCCTACTCACTTATCCGCGGGCTACAAGTGAGTAGGAATCCTGTCTGTCGATGTTGGAAAAATTGCATTCAAACTTCTGACTAGTATTTTGTTGTCACGTTTTTTTACATCGTGTTGGCCGTTGGGACTCCCGGACAGTTCCAGAAGGTAACTGTCAACAGCGAGGGATGAACGGCGTCCAGTGAGGTAGTCGGAATGGAAAATTGAATATTTAAAATGAATGGCAGTTCGGTGAAGCTGAATGTTGTTTAAGTGGTTTCAATTCGTCCGAAATACGGCGTGTTCTCTAAATGATATTCTCTCCTCTGGACATGAATTAATAAAGCAACTCATTTAGGGTTCACTGAATCCGTGTGAACTTTGGTCACGCCGTTGCTGAAGCCTTTCCAGCTGTATCAGCAGTCCACCGTTATGAGTTCATTTCAGACTTCTGAGCGGCCGCGGTCACTTCAGTAATACAAGTTTGCAGAACGGCCAAACCTATACGGGCACTACGGCACTTCACTCCTGCCCGGGCCCCGGCATCTCGTTACAGTCTCTGGGAACTTGGGTCGTCTGGGTAAAGTGGGACTACCTCTTCTAGTATAGGGAAGGGGTCAGATGCTCCGAGTCCGGATACTGTCGTCTGTCCTCCACGGGAAGGTGGCATACCTCCTGAATGGTACGACAAAAAAGGGCGCCTCGAGGCCTGGAGCGTTCCGCATTAGCTGTGGTGTTATCTGTGATAACAAGCTGCCGAGGCGTCCGATCCAAAACGACGCTGACATGTTGACGCACCGCGGGAGGTCAGGGCTGGAACAACAGGACTGCCCGGGTCAAACCAACAGCTAAACGGATCACATCCTAAGGTCGATCGGCTGGATAGCTGTAACTTGTAGTTGAAGCAATATATCTTGTGGAATGCGGACCAAGTGTTCACAGGAAGTCTCAAGCTGTGCCAAGAAATAACGGTTCGATATGATCATGTGCCTACCCGGAAATCAAAGCCGGATAGCTGCATAGATCTCAGGCGCACGCCGCGTACATCAAAGAATGTGAAGAGACAGGAGACTGCGAACAGCCGGGCTTTGATGAAATAATGAATACTTTGATGACGTGGTTCTGTATAGATTAAATCAATTTTGCCAAGATGAGGCAGCGAAAAGAGGAACTAATGAAATGGTTTCATCAAAGACGTCAACTTTGGTAATTTGGCGAAGACAAACTTTTCCTATTCCCGATGCTAGGCCACTGTAACCAAATGTCAATTCATTGGCCGTTGATTACGCATCCCCAGCTTGGCGCATTATTAACTTGCTGTTTAGTTTATTTTACAGATGCTGGTCGCTCATGTGATTTTGTCGCCTTGTTCGCAGACACAACGATTTTCCGTGGAACGCGCGACGGTTCGTGTACAACAAGCTGCAGAGCGTGAACCTGACGTCCGACCTGCGGCACGTCAGGCCGTGGAACGAGAGCGTCTGGTCGCACACGGATCTATTCCGGCTCCGAGAGGGCATGGTCGGCGGTCAGGTCAGTCACGGGGAAGGGAAAGGAGGGGAGGAGAGGGGAGGGGTCAGGTCTCAGGTCTCAGGTCAGTCGCGGGAAGGGGTACTAACAGAAGAGTGCAGACACTGAGCCAGTCTTACAAGCATGCAGGTCACCTGAACAGGTGAGTTCCTGTATGCTATTTATCTATCGCATTTGCCAGCAAGTACAAGTTCACATTTGCTAATTTTTATTTTTGCAGCCATGGGTGACCTACTGCCTGGTGACCTATCACGATTTTCGTCCAATCATTTCACAGCAACCTTTGCTGACCATCCAATAACCGCCTAGTTAGCGGCTCAAACTTTGTGGGTTTTGATTTATTTCTAACTGACGTCAAATTGAATAGAGCCAACAGGGACTGAAACACAAACCGTAAAATGCCATATCATATGTAACGCTACCCGGACCTAGTTGCCCACGATTATGCGCAGCAGACACGATCCACTTGCTCTCGGCATCCCTGCCTCCGCAGGCGGCGGGAATACGCTGACGGATGACGTGCAGTGGCCGCGGGTGAGTGGTCCACATTCAGGGGAGCGTGGCTCAGTTGACACTGATTTCCCGGTCCGCTGGGTAGAGCCCGAGGCGAGCCTCGTGGCTCGTCCGTCCTCGTTCATCGTCTGCGCTCCTTTCGGATAATGTTGGACGACGCTCGGCCTCGCCCGCCCCTTCGATCAACTATGCTGAGCTTGTCCTAGTTGTTTCTCGCTGGTATTCACTCATGTGGCTGTCGCAGCTCTTCCCACTGAATGAACTCTGAATGTGATGGAAAGGTTAACCCGCGCGGGGCTGGGGGGGGGGGTAAATTTTACCCCCCTCGCGAATTTTTGCGATATCTCAAAAACGGCGGCGCGCAGCGCCGCCAAACTTTCAGTACCTTTTCTTACATCAATTTGACACGTTCCCTGAAAATTTGAGCGAAATCCGTCGGAACCTTTTTGAGAAATTGACGTTTTAGTGACGTCATGTTCGCCATTTTCGCCTCAAAAACGGCAAAAGTTCAAACGCCGCTAACATCTTCATTTTTAAAGGAATCAAGACGTAACAAAAAAGGTTATACGTAATTTTACTTTGTCTATCAAATGGCTATCTCGGTTTTTTGAAAATTTTGGATTTTGGCCTAATTGTTTTAAAAAAACTGACTTTTTTGGGAAAATCATTATAAAATCCACAATTTTGGGTCTATCGAAAAAAACCGGAATATATGTCAGAGAAGTGGTCTATGTGCACCTACATACCAAATTTTAGAAGAATCGGTTCAAAAATGTGGGAGTTATTCAAAATTTTATGACGTCACGACACACAATTTTTTTGAAAAATGACTTTTTTGGAAGTTCTAGACCTCGTACGGAAACAAAAATAGCACCATTCGATTCGCCGTGAAAAACTGCATCAGATAGACACCTTTTTAGGCCTTAACAACCAACTTCAAAATTTGACCTCACTTGACCTGACCTTGACCTGACCTCGACCTGAAATTCATCCAGAGGTGGTCCATATCACTTATTGAGTGTGCCTATTGAATTCTATGAGTAAAATGACCCATAAAACATGTGTCGCACATGCCCTTTTCTATATTTTGTTTTTTGGTGACCTGACCTGACCTGACCTGACCTGACCTTGACCTTGACCTCTGAATGATATTGTATGCAACGAATATTGTCTTGGTAGCCTAAGAACACGTTTTGGGCGATCAGTCTCAGTCCATGACTCCATTCTTCGGCAACTACGGTGCAAGGCCGATACTGTAGAAACTTGCAATTTGTACCCTTGACCTGACCTTGACCTTGACCTCAAACTTTAAATTAAGTACATGTTTTTAGTAGTTCGTGATGAGAGCTTTCGATTGGCGTTTGAATTTTCCAAATCGGACCATTAGTTCGGGAGATAACAGGGGGGGTAAAATTTACCCCCCCCCCCCCAGCCCCGCGCGTTCGGCTGGAGACCCCAGCCCCGCGCGGGTTAACATCAAACTCGCACGAGAAAAAAAAGAAAGGTACCTTACCTAAAAAAATGAGCTTTATCTTTTGATCTTTTTTGTCGGCGTTTCATCATCTCCTATATCTTCCATGCTCATAGACACGTGTGCCGTTCAACTTCACAGTTTTATTTTATGCTCCCATGAATTGAATCCACTATAGGTACTAACCTACCAACTTCCTTGGCCAAAATGATCTAGTTGATATGCTATTTATGCAGTTTCATGTGCTCTTTACTGCATCTTTTGTGGGCGGATCGCGGAAGAGTGGAAGTGTGATGGATGACTGGACTGTGGCAGTAATGCTGTTTATTTGACAATAAATGCACTTAAAAAAAAAAAAAAAAAACTTCCTTGGCCATGAATGAAGGAATAAACGAACGAATGAATTCCTCTTTACGAATGAAATGTCATGCAGTGCCATATTTGAAAGTAACTGTATGTCTATATGGTTCCTTTGGCAGGACGGCATTTGCCCCATAGAGACGTCCCGATTGAATGCCCACACTGTCGGTCCCATGTGGTAGATTATGTATTATGGCCTCGTCGGAAGGCAGTCGCCATCTGTTCACTGCCCCAAATGGATTAATTCCGAGAACTGTAGTCAGCAGTCTGATAAAGTCTTGAAGACCGTAAAGCCCACAATGGGCCACAGCAGAGTTCAAAAACTTTAACAAGATGAAGTGGGAAAAGTCGCGAAGTGCGTTAACCCCGGCAAAGACAGATGAAGCACGTTGAAGGCTTTGGTTTCATAAAATTATTGGGGTATACACCTGCTAATGTTCTCATAACCAAGGTCAATGAGGTTGGTTAACAAACGAAGCAGCTTTTCCCTTTTTCTATTTAAACGGCGTAACCAAACGCAGGTTCCACCACCAGTGGAAGATTCCATCGCATAAATGAACCATCAACTACGATCAACTGCAATGCCTCTGGCAAAACTACCTACTTTCAGAAACATAACGTCATTAAATTGTTTACCCTGAAGGCCGTGGTTTTTAGGCCATACCGGCATAATATGGCGGTAGATAAATCTGCAAGTCAAAGAAGTCGGCTGCCAGTTAACCGCCGGCTCGCCAACTGTTTAAACAGAGTTGTGCTGCAAAAGCCCGAGGCAGGCCCGGTGCGGGTAACCTCGCACACAGTGCGGCAGAGTTGGACCGATGTGTCGTCATTTAGTTACAGGGCTGATGAAATCAAATCATTTTTAACGATTGAAAACACCACACATCTACGTGCCCCCATACACGAGTGTTGGCCAAAAAAATGCGTAAACTCGGAGGTGAGGGCTTAGAGATGAACGAACTACAATATATCAGAGCAACTTTTTTCATGAAAACTATTGCTAACCTCTCCTTCACCCTATTATGATGCATTCATTATTTCCCAAGTTTTTTGTTTTCAATAAGACGTGTAATCATTAGCCAACCTTTGAAGCTTTTAATCATCGAGGCCTCGCGAGTCATAAAAGATAAACTCTGAAACTTTGCAGCTTGTTGATCTGGCCATTACTGAGCTGCCTTTCAGCACCAAAGCATCAATTTATACCGGACACTTATTTAAAATCAATAGTGTTCCCGATCAGGAAAGCACAGAGCAGCATACGATTTGAATTTATTAGTCCAAACATCCATTTGATGATCACAGATGATCAAATAGTAGCAGGTTGGATGCTCTTTATTTATTTATCTTTTTTAACGACTTGTGCAGCATTTCACCGTGCCGCAATAGGCTCTGAAACCCCGTTGAGATCCAACGGCGCGGGCCATTTTTGCTCAGCCAACTTGGCCACCGAAAAAACTCGTCGCTTTCGCAATGTTTTGAAAGCCCGCTCTGAAAGGCTGGCCAAACGCTGGCTGTCGGCGGCCGATTCCCTTTGATCCGGGCCGTGCCAACGGACGCACCAGCGTGTCGCTGATGTTTCTGTCGGCTGTAACTGGCTCTGTGTCGCGCGCGACGCTCGCCCTCCGGCGTGTTTCGGCCCCGGCCGGCTAACTTCACCGGCTAACCTCGTTATCTCTCGGAGACAAGCGGATCAGGACGTCGCGTCTGGCTGGGCCGAGCTGCCTCCGACTGGGCGCCCGGCGACGAGCGACGGCTGACCCGTCGAGGTCGACGCCACTATCACCATCGACGCCATCGCCGACGCCATCGTCAACGCCCCTTGGACGGCCGGCCAAAGTTTGGCCGATCTCTGGACCCGATGCATCTTCATTAGGGGCCGGCTGAGTGAATATCTGCTAGTTGGTGCGTCCGGGTATTCGAGGAAGTCGTGCCATTGAACTGCAAGCAGGCTAGTAGTCAGAACTTTGTCTATTTGGGAGCGTACAACAAAGCGTGTATCTTTATATTCACTGGGTGTGACAATGTGACAATACATAATGCACATCTTACCGGTGAAGTGTCTGAAGTGGGTCAGAACTATTGGAAAACTATCCCTGGATATTGGAGTACCCTGACGTACTACGCTGCTGTCCAAATGTCACCGCAGCTGAGAGCCACTTGAACGAATGTTTCACGATCCACTCTGACTTTCATGGCTGTGCGAGAGAGGACTTCCGTGCCAAAGATAAAAGAGAGGTCTCTGTGGGATCTCAATGTTCCAGGCAGGCCACGCTTGCGTGCCGTATAAAATGCAATATCTGGAGTGGTTAGGTTACATCTCTGTGCGCTATGGTGCACACTGTGCACACATGCACCGATAGCCCACCGGATGTTCTCTAATTCGACGCCATCCCAATGACGCTTACGATAGACGCAGCTGACGCAGCAGTGATGACGTCACCGGATGACGCCTGCTGTCATCACCGGATGACGCCAGCTGTCAATGACCGGATCCTGACAATGACGCCATCAGAGAGCCGGCAGCGCGACGGAATCGGCGGCGGGGAGGGGTCGGGGAGGGGTACCTTGGTGCCCATCAGATTCCGGCGACCGGGAGGCCAGGAGGGCCGGGGAGGGCGGGAGATGCCGCGGGGAAACCAGGGAGGGTCGGGGAGGCCGG